CAGCATTTTTTTAAAGAAAAATTATTAGTTTTTCATATAAACAAAGTAAACATTTTTTGTTGTGTTGTTGTAAGCAGGGTTTTTTTTTAGGATAGACCAAATTAATTCTGGTGTTTCTTTGAGTTTTTCCCTAGTTTTCCATATATTTTTTGAGAGAGTGGTTGCATTTGAAAGTTTTTTTTTTGTAAATGATTGCTTGTTGTTCTTTTCCACACGCCTCTGATAAACCAATGTATGCTTTGCTGGGTGTGTTTGGGGAAGATGTTATACATTTGTAAATTATATTTGTTGCTCTAGAATATTTACTCAGTGGGCAGATTACTTTTTGTTTGCAGTTACAAGGGAAATTTTCAGTCATGTTTTTTGAATTTATTTTTTTGTTGTGACTTTCTATGATTTTTGAAATGTTTTTTGAGCAGAAGTAGCTAACTTTTGTGATGTTTCAATTGATACGTTTATGCAATCGGTTTGAAGGTAGGAAATGCTTATCTATTAATTGCAAAAAGATTTGGCCAACATTGGTAGAGATGTTTTTATTGTAAAGTGGGTTAATTTTCTATTAATTTGTGTATATATATATATATATATATATATATATATATATATATATATATATATATATATATATATATATATATATATATATATATATATTATATATATATATCAGGCTTTCACAGAAAGACATGCAATTTCAGGTTTTTATATGATCACGCATGTAATACTTTTGTTTTGCGACTTGTCCAAGGCTTTTAAAATAGTAATTATTTTCATGCGTTTTAAAAATAGGGCTTGAAAAACTAAAGTAAACATAATGAAAATGAAAATTAAAACCATATACTGAAAAAGGAAAATAAATCTTAACTTAAGTAAATAAAAAATAAGCTATAAACCAAATTTTTAATTTTTAAATTTAAAAGTGTTTCGCTTGATATACTTGCGTAAAGTTTAAAGTTTTGAAGTTATTTTTCCAGACTTATTGATAAATCAAGTTTGTAATAATTTTATTGTAGTAAATTATCTCAGGAATGAAAAGACTAAAAGAATGTTTATAACACACCATTTTGTTTCAAAATTCAATTCCGTTTGATAAAAACTGCTATTGTTTGATAAAAACTGCTAACGTTTGATAAAAACTGCTAAGCGTTTGATAAAAACTGCTAAAACTAAAATACAAGATTTACAACATGCAATCTTTTTGAGAAATATATGTCAATATAAATATAAAGAAAGAGCAATTTTTAAATCATGTTTACAAAAATATTTTACTAAAATTGTTTTACGTTTTATACCTTTATTTTCAATACGGCAAGGGAGCTCATTATTTTTTGTCTATTTTTACAATCTATTTATATATTTTCAAACATCTCTATAATATAAATTAATAAAAAGTCTAAAATAAAAAAAATCCAAAAAAAAAAGCTGCTCATTCATCTGATGATTTGTTATCTGATGTTTGCATGTTGGTAGACTCACTATTTTCGTTGGTGGTATCGTCATTTTCGATATCTTCCTCTTCTGAACCAGGTAGTTCACAATCTGATAACTTGTTATCACTGTCAACTGTTTCAACGGAAGGTTCATTGCTTTTTCTTTGATTTTCATGGATGTAAGTCTCTGTTTCGGTTTAAATTAAACCATTCTACGCTTTTCTAAATATTGATTTGCGGCTTGTTTTAGTATATCGTTTCGATCTTCATCCGACCATACATGATCATTTCCAACAATTATGATGCACTCTTCCATGGTACTATGGTTCATTTGAAGTCTGTTATCGGAAAGAATTGTTGTCAGTGTGCTGAAGCACCTTTCAACTGAGCTGTTTGATGACGATAAACAGAAGCAGAGCTCAGCTAACAGCAAAATGTTTAAAAAATGAGCTTTTCCAAACTCCCATAACTTATGCCAAACTTCTAGACAAGTTAACTTTGAATAACGTGCTTTTACCAATATTTGTACAGAATCACACTCCTCAAAAACCTTATCTTCCTGAAAATTTACATTTGCAAGTGGTTCCTGAAAATGTTGCATAAGTTATTTTATACCGTTTGAACCATCTTGCTCCATCTTGCTTGTTGGTCCAATATTGAGGATCCAGCCATTTCATGGAGTCAAATAACAGGTTATCATTGAATGACTTGAGTCGACTATTTATCAACAGTATTAAAATGTCAATACATTGTTTTCTAAGCTGGAACGATCTTTTGATGTCGTTGTGTTCGATCATGTCATCTAGCTTGATGTCAAGGTACTTTTTATTTTTACTTTTTCTTTTTTTGTGTCCAGCCATTAAGTAACAAGATTCGACAAAGACAATACCATTTTTTTCTTTTCTTGGAAACTTTCTGATCGAACTACAAAATGCTTCATCGAGTACCTCTAGTGTTAAAGCAGTTAAATTATTGAATGTCAAATCAATTTGGGGTTGAACTTCGTGGGCCAACAAAACATTTTTTCCAAAAAAAAGCGACAATGGTGTCATGGCATCAAGCAAATCTATGTAGGCTCTGACTTTGCATAAAAAACCTTGTTTATTTGCAAGTGTCTTTGGTAGAGCAAGTAAATAAGATGGCCAGTTATGCAGGAGTTTAGTAAAGCCTCTTTGTCGATGTACTGTAAACTGAGTTCCTGTAATTTTATTCAGTGTGTAAAATTGGATTGATAGGGATGCAGCAGCATGTTTGCAGGACTCCTTTAGTTTGCCTGAGTTTTTTAAGAGGTAAAATAAGGTTGTGTATAAATTGTCACTCGATCAAAATTCTTTGGTAATAATCTGTTAACTAAACTTCTAAAAATCAGATTGTACTTTAAGTTATATAATTCTATGATAATCAATGATAAAACAAATGATAAAACAACTTTAATAATAGTTTCACTATATTATTAAAAAAATACGTTGCTTTTTGTAGTTAATACTTGTGAAGACAAGGTAAAAAAAATGACATTTTTTTTTTTTTTTAAAGATAAAAACTATTAAATGAGAATGAAAAAAACAAAAGTATTAAAATAGTCAAACGTTTATAAAAAAATATATATATACACTAGTCAAAAGAACAAATTGTTTTGACTACATCTTGACGATAAATGTTATCTATGAATCATAGTGCTTATAAGGCATTTCACATGTATTAACTATGCTAATGGTATATGAGTGAATACAATAATACAAAATAAGTTTTGACAAAATGTGTGGAAGTTTAAAACAAAAATAATTTTTAATTATTAAAAAAAAAATTATTTCAGCTTTAGTTATTATTTGAATATATTTTTTAAGATTCAAACGCACCTACGTTTTACAACTTCAGGAAAAGTCATTCTAAAATTAATTTCAATAGAATATGATCAATGAAGCATTACCAAAAAAAATGAAGTCGTTAATGTGCAAAACAGTTTAATTTTAAATAGAAAAGGCCACCTTTTTCATAGCATAAAAAAGTGACTCTTTTAAAAAATTGTATGGTAAAAAAAATAACCTGAAATTAAACATTTTTTACCAAAACTTTAATCTAATATTATTTGTGGAAAAGAAGTACACATATATATATAACAATGCAGCATATATGTTTTATTAAATAATGAAACATTCTTTATGTTAAAAATAAATAAGTAAACCCCAAAAAAATTACTTTTTATTTTCAAAATTTTTAGTGCATCTTTACGACGCTATTTATTTTAGTAGAACTCTAAATTTTTTGTGGGTGACAGGTATCCAGTGTTGCCACACAAAAAATAAAATACAATTATGGTCGGGTGCCAGTAAGTTTGATATAATAGCATCGCCTTTTTCAAAACCTGGCTCTTTCATACACACTCCCCCATACCTTATTATTTTGAAACTAAAAATTTTAAAACACTTAAAATAAACTTTTTTACATAGGTGTTAGTATTATTGTTCATCATATTTTATATCATAATTTTTATCATTAGATAAATTTAACAGTTTAAAAACTTATTTAAATCAATAGCTTTTTAATGAAAATTAAATGAAAGTTTTCGAAATCTTAATATATTTTAATAAAAAAACTTGGTTGGCTCAACAATTTATCGTCAAATAAAATGTTTGTTAAAAAAACTTTTGTTGCAATAGGCTACTTTAGTTTAAATAAGTAACTGAGACCTTTAAGGGGCAGAGCGAGATTCTTTCACTGCACGAGGGCAGCAACTAAATTTAAGCGGCATATTTAAATACCTAGTAAATTAGGTATTTAAATTAAAAAATGTATTCAAAAACAAAAACCAATTTATTATTTTTTTCAATTTACAAATATACATTAAGTATCAATATAAATTTTGTTTTTGTAAATAATGAAAAAAATTAATTTACGTATTTATAAATATTTATAAAATTAATTTACATATTTTATTGATTAACAATTAATCATCTTATTTAATTATCTTCTTTTATGTTTTATGCTAATATAACAGATAATACGTTTGATTGCAAGTTTTATTTTTGATTTTTTTGTTGTTATTTTCGGTTTACTTTACCAGCTAATTTACTTTATAGAAAGTATTAATAATTCTTTTAAAAACGTTATTAACTTATTTTAAAGTATAATATTTATTATATGCGAATTTCATTGTAACTTTCTTAACTTAAAATATACAAAAAAAATGTAAATAAAAAGTTTTTGAATAATAAAATTAAATTAATAAAATAATTTATTAAACATTGAAAAATCTTAATTAGAGACCAACTGACGTCAATAAAAATTAAAAAAAAAAAAGTCTTTTTCAACTTTTGAATGAATGATAATGATTGTTAATGACGCTTGTTAATGATGACACGTTTTTACACATAAAAAAATTGATCAATTTAATTCATTTCCTCATTGTACGTATCGCAACACTTTAAATCTAAAACTGATATTATTTTTTTATTTTTTTTACTATGATCTTATGAACCTTTGGGAGTTTTAAAACAATTGGAAATACCACGTTATATGCAGTGCCATCAGGTTGGCTAACATCCTGATATATATAAATATATTCTTTTATAGGAGAAGTTGGATTTTTATCTGAGGATAGGCGTATTAATGTAGCAATTACTCGTGCAAGACGACACTTGTTTGTTGTATGCGATACTCAAACTGTATCACATCATAAGTTTCTTGCTGAATTTTGTGAGTACATGAACAAAAATGCTGATGTACGTTTTGCAAAGCAACTATGTACCAATACAGTGTCAGCTGTAACTACAAATGAACAGTTTGAATTGCCCTCTATACTGCAGTCGAATGTTTTTAAAAATTTAAAAGCAAATGATAAAAGTTCTTCTTCACACACTTTTTATGATGTGCAGAATTCAGAAAGTTTAAATTCTAACATGTTATTATCAAATAATAAACCTGATAAAAACGATTATTCTGCTCCTGAATTAGCTATCACACAACATGGGTTAATTGACACACAAAACGAAATCAACAAAAATAACTCAAAAATAACTTTAAATAAAGATTCTATAATGGATATTATTAAAGAGTTTATAGAAAGTCCGAATAATGAGTTTTCTTTCCCTGCAACTTTAACTGGATCTGAGAGAGCCCTTGTGCATGAATTAGCAGAAATGTTTTTGCTGGAACATCAAAGTTTTGGAAAGTCAGCACAAAGAAAGATAATAATTAAGAAAAAAATTTCTGGTATTTTTTTAGGGTTTTTAATAAAAAATTTATGTATTTATGCATTATGTATTTATAATAATTTATAATATTATGTTTATTATTTTAATATTTATAATATTATGTATTTATAAATTGTTATAAAAATAATTATTTTTTATTGTATAGAAAGTGCATCCAAGCCTGTAAAACAAGACATGTTGTTGTGTGAAACCTGTTTATCAACAGTTCCACAAAAAAATTATGAGCTACATAAGTTGAGATGCCAAAAGGATATTAAGCAGAAACAAAAAGATTTATTACCTCAAAAAAAGGAAAAGAAAACTCATAAACAGTCAGTTGTTGCTGAAGATTTTGATACCTTAGTTCAATCTTTTGCTGAGATAAACTCTCATTGTTCCTTTCAAAAATGTAAAAATAACATTAAGTTGCTGGGGCAGCATTGCCAATTTTGTAATAGAACATTTTGTTTGTCTCACCATCAAGCTGAGATACATGGCTGTGCCGAAGCAGCAAAGTTTCAAGCTCGTCAAGATATGCATAAAACTCATTCGCATTTGAATAACATTAAAAAGGCTCAACTTACAAATACTTTAAAAAAAAAAGTTACAGAGATGGAAAAATCTCGAAGGAAAAAAATACTAGAAGAAAAGCAACGCTAAAGTTTTTGTTACGCTAGAGTAAATGTTTTGTCATGTTTTATTTTATATATATATATATATATATATATATATATATATATATATATATATATATATATATATATATATATATATATATATATATATATATATATATATACATATATATATGTATATATGTATGTGTATATATATATATATATATATATATATATATATATATATATATATATATATACATATATATATGTATATATGTATGTGTATATATATATATATATATATATATATATATATATATATATATATATATATATATATATATGTATGTATGTATGTATATATACATTTTCATGCACAAAATATCAACTTTTTTCTATAGTTTTTTTTTGAGAAAATGAATTAGAAATTGAATAATAATGAAAAAAACTTTTTGCTGCTCTAACTCAGACCTCCTGTTGATGTAGCAGCAACTTCTCCCTAAATTAGTTCTTAGCATGTTCTCCCTAAATTAGTCTATGTATATGCTGAAACTCTAACAGTTCCTTAAATCAGTAATGTATATATATATATATATATATATATATATATATATATATATATATATATATATATATATACTAGTTTTTGTTAAAAAATAAAATAAAAACTTCCTGTTAAACTAAATAAGCAATTTAGAATAAATCGTTTTTTAATTGTTTAAACCTTAGTTTTTAGTTATTTAAACATATTTTAAGTCTCTTTGTACTTTGAAGCTATTTAAACCTTTTTGGTATTGTTTTAACAAGAAATAAAAACAATAGCAATTTAAGAAAATATATTAAAATACTTGTACAGATATTTGCAAGATTTATACAGTTGGTTAAAGATGTCATATTGAGTTCAGGATTCATAATTAATATTCCCATTATAAAAGTCTTTCTTTCATATTAAATTAGCTTACTTATCTTAAAAAGCTTATCTGGAAACTTATTTAGAAGCTCACCTGTAAGTGTATTATAATTTTCACTTGTAAGGTAAATAAGGTTTATAAATTGTTTATAACAAGGATTATATTAACCTAATTTTTATTTATTATTTGTTTTTTAATATTTTTTTCTTTCTATTTATTTTTTAATATTTCTTTCCTGATATTCTATTGATGTTAAATTGAATCATTTGTAGCTTTTTGACAAACAGATTAGAACTTTTTAAAACCTAATTTTTATTCATTATTTGTTATAAGCTATTTTGGCATCAAGAGTTTTTATCATGAGTTTTTTTATATTTTCACTGTCTTCAACATTATCATATCTAATTGTAAATAAAAAAACTTAGATCCCATAAAATCATAAATTGCAACCCTAGCCCTAACAATAGTATCACCCTTTGTTAAAGCCCTTCTTCACACTTCTTCATAGCGCACAAGATCAAATTTTAGATATTTTTGTGGATATGCAACATCCACAAGAGAAAAACAAAAAATCTTCTTCAAAAAAGAATAGAAAATTTAAAGGTGATAATATAATGTATAAAAATTAACGAACTTGGAGACCATTTTGATCAAAACTTTAACTGGCGCCATTATATTATTTAATAAGAACTATTTTTATTTTATGCCTGCAATGTCTTCTTTTTTGATGGTTTTATGTAGTTTTGTAACAATTTTTGTAACATTTTTATTCCACCTGATGGTGCTGACCGCTATGGGTCAGCAAAATATTGTAAATATATAATAATATCAAAATATATTTAAAACAAAAAGTTTATACGCAGCTTTTATAATCAAACATTAAACATAAATATTATATAACAAGAATATGATTTTAAAAGATATGTTTATATAATTTGTTTACATTTTTGATAGATTAGCATGATTAAAATAAGGTAACTATGAAAACCTTTTGTCATTTAAGGCTTTAAAATGTTTTGTTTACTTTTTGATTGTTCATATATTTTCTATGTTATTGTCTTGGGTTAATTAATCTTGATGCCTACTTGGTATTGTGTTTTATTGATGCCTAATTAATAAATTAATGTCTACTTGGTTTTGTGTTTCAATTGCTATTATTTTTGTGGTATGGTAAGTTACTTTTTTTAGTTGCAACATTTTATTATTTTAGAAAAAAAAACAAAAAAACAATAATAATAAAAAAAACAATTGTTACTCAAGCTTTTAGTTGATATAGTGGCACTCCCTTGTATGTATATATTACTAATAATTTGTACCTAATAATGCAATTTTCAAATATATTTTTGCACTTTAATTTTTAAAATATGCGCTTTAAATTTTCAGAAAAAGAAAAAATCATGAATAATGAAAGAAAAGGTTGCTGCCCCAGCCCAGAGCTATCACTAGGAAGGGGAGCAGGGGATTCTAGCACCCCTTCTTACTTTACTTGTCGGCATATTGAACACCAGAGTTGGCAATATTGGATTTATTGTTGGCAGTCAGCAAATGTCAACTAAGGAGAACTTTTTTTTTAAAGATCTTAGCAAAAAAGTTTTTTTGATTTCGTTGCCAAAAAAAAAATACATCACCCCTCTTTAAAATTTCTTCGGGACAGCCCTTTCCCAGCCGAAACCCTTAATAGCAAGATAGTCTATGTATGTACTGAAGTAATGTTATCAGTGTGCGTTTAATGCTGCACATTTATATATAAGTGTATATACATATATATGCACATTTATACATGAGTGTGTGTGTATATATATATATATATATATATATATATATATATATATATATATATATATATATATATATATATATATATATATATACATACATACATACATACACACACGTATGTATATATATATATATATATATATACATATATATATATATATATATATATATATATATATATATATATATATATATATAAACATTTTTATATATATATATATAGATATTATTATTTTTCCTATATATATATATATATATATATATATATATATATATATATATATATATATATATATATATATATATATATATATATATATATATATATAGGAAAAATAATAATATCTATATATATATATAAAAATGTTTATATATATATATATATATATATATATATATATATATATATATATACACTGAGACATATTCGTTTAGACGCATCAATTTTTTCTTTATCTTAATTTTTTTCTACGAATTGTCAACAGATATGCATGCAAGTTATTATCAAAATAATTGTTGTGTTGTGGGCTAATAAAAATCACAAAAAAAATTTTTCTATTTGTTTTTATTAAGATAAGAGTATGTTTGATATACAAAAGTACATTTTTTAATTGGAATATATCTTTAGACGCAGTCATGTTTTTGACATTAAAAGATGGAAATTAGTAATGCGTATGTCCTCCATTACACTGGATCACCTCAAAAGTTCTGTCTTTCATTGACTCCACTAGTCGTTGAAGTGTAGTTTGATTGAACTCGGACCATGCTTAAAGGATTTTATACTTTAACTCAGTAACAGTTTTAAATTGGTGTCCGGTTGCTTTAGCGTCATAAACTTTTTTTGCTAGCATTTCCCACACATTCCTGATTGGATTTAAGTCCGGGCTACAAGCTGGCCATTCGAGAACCTGTATGTTGTGGTCTTTAAACCATTTCATAGAATGCCTAGATGCGTGAATTGCATTATCTTGCTGAAATATGGCATTGTCGTCCATGTTTTCATCCATATAAGTTATGAGAACATCATCCAACATTTCTGTATACTTTCTCGAGTTCATTTTAGGTAAACCGCAACACAGAGTCAATTTTCCTGAATAAGAAAATCCACCCCAAACCATAAAACTTCCTCCACCATAATTTCGTTTTGTTTGTGGGTCATTTATTCCTCTTAGATCATGCCAATAACAATTGTAAGAGTCCGGACCATTTAAGTTGAACTTTTTTTCATCTAAAAATATTATGTTTTGCCACTCATGAGTCCAATGCATATGGTTTTTATCAAACTGTAATCTAGCAATTTTTTGGTGTTTTTTTAACAATGGTTTTTGGTGTGGTTTCTTCTACTCTACGTTTGGTGTTATACGTAGAATATGTGCAACATGTTTATTGGTGACAGGCAATAATAATTTATCCTTTATTTGTGTTGCATTCAGTTTATTTTTGGTTGCTTTGAAGCGAATTCGATTAATTTGCTGATTTGTTAATACTTTGTTGCCGTTTGTTGCTTTTTTTACACCGTAATTGTCACCTTTTGCAATTTAGTTTCGTACAACATGGTCAGATCTTTCAATTTTTCTTGCTATTTCTTGTATAGAAAGTGCTGGTGAGATTTCTGAACCACAATATAAATTAATTTGTACTTTTTCAGCATCTGTCAAATACTTTCCTTTAGACATTTTGTAAAATGCAATAAAAATGATACTGGCAGAGCAAAAGATCAAATTACTCCAAAATTTATCAATTTATTTGTGTAAAAGTGATTAAAAATCAATAATTACCGTTATTAACCTGATTGCGTCTATTAATATATTCCAATTTAAAAATGTGCTTTTCTATATCAAACATACTCTCATGTTAATAAAGACATAGAAAATTTTTTTTTGTGGTTTTTATTAGCACACAACACAACAATTATTTTGATAATAACTTGCATGCATCATCATGCATCATCAGTTGACAATTGATAGAAAAGAATAAAGATAAAGAGAAAAAAATTGATGCGTCTAAAACAATATGCCTCAGTGTATATATATATATATATATATATATATATATATATATATATATATATATATATATATATATATATATATATGTATGTATGTATATATGTGTTCACCTCTCCAATGCCACTATAGTCAAGGAATCCTCTTTTATGTCAATTCCGATGAGTACTTTTATGGATGTTTGAGCTTTGTATCTCTTCTTTACAAAATCAGCACACTACCTCTACACCATACATATCTTATATCCTTTGATGAATGTGCTAATACCTAATGCTACTATTTTTTTGCTAGCATTTTTTGCCTCAAACCCTACTTTTTTTACTATAAAAGTTTTGTTTATTTTAGTGATTTAGTGTTTTTTTTATTTATGTTTAGCGTTATGTCGAAGTTTTGTAGGATAATAAATAGTATCTACAAGCGCCTTAATGAATTGAGTTGTCCATTTCTTGAAAATATCAATGAGAGTTCTTTACCTACACTTTTATTTGATTCGAATAACTTGAGATTTGAACTGCTTAAGTGGGTTGTGTGCACTTTTGATCCTGTTTTTGAGGAGTTTTTAGAAGCTTCTAATTATCATACTGAACTTTTTCAACAGAAATTAATAACAGCTCTCAGTATTTTATTGCATAGTAGTACTAACTATGCTGAATTGTTATCTGGTAAAGCTTCACAAAAAAATCAATTAGAGTTTTGGGATGACTTAATTGACATTCTTTATACGTCGCATTTTGGTTATTCTTATAGTTTAAGTAATAAAGATTTATCCTCTAATTGTTGTCAATCTTTTGAGTTAACAGAAACATTTTTGAACACATGTAAATTTATTGATGCCCTTATACATGAACATAAGCCGAAAGAGTTATTTTCAAATGATGTGCACTTATTTAATATAGAAATTGAATCCCAGCGTAAAAAACAACCGGTTCCAAGTTTAACTATGCTCATTGAAGCTACTGAAAAAATGAAAGAAGATCTTGTTACAAAAACAAATGAGCTAGAATCTCTTCTAAAAAGTCTAAATTTTAAAGAACTTGAGAACCACAATGTGGAAAATTATTGTTTTAAATTTGACTTGTCTTTAAAAAAATTGTTGCAAATGGTCAATCAGTTTATCTATAGTTTTGAATCAGACCTAGAAATATGGTGCGACCAGCCAAAATTAGAATTGTCAAATATTGGACCAAGCATAAAGTCTTTGACTGATTTAGTGAGACATTACTGCTCTATTAATGATAATCTTTCAATTCTGAAAAAGAACTCTAGTTATTTTACTGACATTTTGAAAGAGAGGCGAAAATGGAATGATGAGAATCTCTTAAAACCATCTAGTCTTACTCAATTAAGAGAAGAAATTAATATTTTAAAACAATCAATATCAAGGAAGTATTCAAAATAAATATTTTAAAGAAATTAATGTTCGGTTATAAATAATCAATTTTTAAATGTTTTAATTTTAGATAAATTCAAAATTGAAATTAACTTTTAAATGCTTTTTTATGTGTTTTTTTTTCTTTCTCTAATTTGAACTATTTTAAATTAGCTTATTTTCTTATACCTCATTCACATCAAACAATAAATTGCGCCTTAATTGTCTTATCAAAACAATATCGTAAGGTTGTTTTATTTAAATAGCTTTTGCGCTTTCTGCGTGGAATTAAACCCAGTTCAAAATTTTATGTGAATGAAAAATTATAAAATGTGTTTAAAATGCTGCTGTTAAAACTTGTTTTTTTGTCAGGTGTGAATGGGGTATTAGCTAATGTGCATTACATCTATATATACAAATGTATATATATATTAATATACAGTGTATATATATATATATATATATATATATATATATATATATATATATATATATATATATATATATATATATATATATATATATGTATATATGTATATATTTATATATTTATATATATATATATATATACATATATATTTATATATATATTTATATATATATATGTGTGTATATATATATATATATATATATATATATATATATATATATATATATATATATATATATATATATATATATATATATATATATATATATATATATATATATATATAAACCTCGATTATATATATATATATATATAGACCTCAATTTTCCTAATTCCGAGGGTTGTATATATATATATATATATATATATATAGACCTCAATTTTCCTAATTCCGAGGGTTGTATATATATATATATATATATATATATATATATATATATATATATATATATATATATATGTATATATATATATATATACATATATATATATATATATATATATATATATATATTATATATATATACATACATACATATATATATATATATATATATATATATATATATATATATATATATATATATATATATATATATATATATATATATATATATATATATATATATATTGGGGTGATCCAAAAAAATTAAGTTTGGAGATTCTGTTCTGTTCTCCACAAGGCTTATCTTGTTTCATATAATATTAGAGTATTTCTGTAAAAATTTGAAGCAAATCCTTTCGCTTCATTTTTGAAAAAAATTTGAAGCAAAATGTTCTTTGGGTCACAAACTTTTCAAGATGATTTAAGTCTGCGCCACACGTGCTTGTTCTCTTCAGAGCTGACTAAGTCTTGGGAAGCTGGAGGTTGGCTGTCATGGCTCTTTTAGCATCTAGAGGGACTCGGTTGTCAAAAAAAGTCCACAAGGTGTTCTGAGAAAAACCACAGATGTCGAGTAAATGCAGTGTAAGCCGCATCAACAATGATATGGTTTGGATATTTCTTGAGAAGTCTGATCATCATTGCATCATTCAGGGGAGCGTATGGAGCCAGTGGAGCCTCGTGCCAGAAACGTCCATAAATGAGAGAAGCAAAGAGTGCCAGCTTCTTCAGACCTCGCTTTTCTTTAGCAATCAATTCCAACTGGCCTTCAAATAGCACCATTTTTAGAGAACAGATGGCCTTCAACATCCATTGAGCAAGATGTATTACTCCTGAAGATCGGAACTGGAAGTCTATCTTAAAATTGCTTCCACGGAGGAAGACAAGACATAGCTGAAGGAGCTTGAGGTAATCTTCCCGAGGCTGCTGATGTCCTATGGTTTTGGTTTAGTAGGAAACCATCTCTGTCCAAAGAATTTCGGTATCCTCATTGAAGATTTGGTCTTTAGCTGGCAAATACTCTGTTTGCCTGTTGTATGGCCATTTCTTCTGAAACCTATTAAAAAGACCAACTTCTGGTCCACCCGTCCCACCAAAAACAGCAAGTATCATTGGTTCACTGATGATGGCGGCATCAAATATTTACAAATTCATGGCCAATGGCTTCCTCAATAAAAATTGCCTGTGTTGAAGGAAGTTGTATCAAATACTAGACCTTGAACTTTTTCTTGTAGATTCCAGTAATCTAGTACTTTTAAGTATGCAGCAGTCTGTTCTTCCCCAGTTCCTCCTACAATTTTTGTTTTCTGCCAACAACTTCTCGATACCATTTCCAGTGATGATCACAGCAATTCAATCAAGGGTTTCTTTTGCACCAGCTATGTCCCCAAGCAGTTTTCCATCCCAATGGAGAAGAAGAGGAAATTCGGTTGAAAAAGAACTATTCTCTGCTTCAGCTACTTTTTTTCGTGGAGCCATCCGTGACCTTCTGATGTTGATCCTAGACAGTGTCAGGTCATCAAGAGGATGGCCTAAAGCCTTTGCTACTGATGCAACAACATACATAGCTCCATGATCAAGAAGATTTACTCTATCTAAAGCCCCTCCAACTTTTGGAGTTGCTATCAATGCTTTTTAGTCATTTATGGCATTGAGGAAGGAGTTTAAGCAGATGATGATGATGAAAATCTGAAGTCTTCATCGTCGACGTCGTCCTCGTCTTCAGACTTAGACGAAGAACTGATATCCAAACCAGGACCAGATGTTTCTATTTGCTACAACTTTTCTGTCTCTTTCAGTCTTCGATTTTCATTAGTTTCTATACAAGCTCTCTTCGTCTCTTTCTCTGCAAGATTGCAATCCACTTTAGCCATGCTTGAACTGGTGACATCTCTCTGCATTGTTAGGAATTGTCTGTCTTCATTGTTCATCATGGTGTTCAAAGCATTCTTTGTGGCCAAGTCAAAAAGTTCCATCTTTGTTGTCTTTGAAGATTTGCTCTTTAAATCTGCAGCTTTTATATGCTTTCGTCCTATTCACCTTTAACAGTTAATATTCATCATACAATTTCAGTTTTCTTTCACCAGAATCAATCTTCTGAGTTGGAATTCTTGCTTTGCTCCAAATCATATTGATATCTTTAATTGTGTGGTTTATACTGTCCTCCACAGTGAGGTGTTCTTTGAGGTGGTAAAAGAGGAGGCAGCGGATGGCATCACTGTTTGTAGCCAATCTTGCTGAAGAGAATTGATTCGTGGCCTTGTCGACAAGCCAAATTTCAGCAGAACTTCTTGTTGCAGCTGCCATTATGTAGTTAATTACCTGCCTGTGGATATAAAAAAGTACTAAATAATAAATACTGTCATAAAATTGCTGTTCATGAATGTTATGTTCAATTGTTCAATGTTCATTTTATTTTAAAAACAACAGCAATTGTTTTAAGGCCTCATTATGTGACTAACAAATTGATAATATTACACTAATCCATTTAATAAACAATAGATTATTTATTAACTATTCATGGTAACTAATTAACTGTAATTATGTAATATGTGCATAAAGCAACTGATACAAATTACTAACCTTTTAAGCTTTTCTTCTATAGTTAGAATAAAAATTCAAAAATACTATATATTTAAAAAAATTTCAATTTTTAAAAATTATTTGTTGATGGCAAGATGTCTGCTGTTTACAAATTGCACAAAGAACTAGAACAATTACTTTGCATCGTGTCCCAGAAGGGCTGTTCAGAAAAACAAAACTAAAAACTATATATAAACACTCAACAATGTGATTTCTGTTACAAGTATACCATAAAATTAGGTGCTTGTCCAAAATGTTTAAATCCTATTGACCCCTAAATTTGCTTAAATTAGTCCAATTTTTTGCATGTTTATTCCTTATATATAATAGAACAAAGTTAGCCTTGTGGAGAGTGGTTAAGAACACTTTTAATTTTTACTATGTAATACTGGACCTTTTCTTCTAATATATATATATATACTGGACCTTTTCTTCTAATATATATATATATATATATATATATATATAATATATATATATATATATATATATATATATATATATATGTATATGTATATATATATATATATATATATATATACATATATATATGTGTATATATATATATATATATATATATATACACAGTACTGCTAAAATTATTATGTATTTTTCAAATTTTCATAACTTTCGCTTTATTTTCATGAATAAGTCATAAGAACATATTTAATATGTCATTCAAATACTCCACCAAACATTTCAGTACTTAGTTTTGCCACCTTTAGCCAATTTTAGGGCACTATCACCATTAGGCATAGACATAATCAAACTTTGGCAAAGTTTTTTAATTTTTTTAACTATGGAACCACACCAGAACCAACTGTTCAATCAATTTGGTTGTTTTTTTTTTGTAATGGGTACAATGTGGATCTCAAGTTCTCAAAAAATGGATGGAGTGATTTGCGAAAAGGTCTATATAAGTACTTAAATGGCCCACAAAGTCTCAAGAAAAAAATTTAATTCATGTCTCGAGAGTTTGTGGGCCATTTAAGTACTTATGTGGGCCATTTAAGTACCTTTTTGCAAATCACTCCTTTCATTTTTTTTTCCAGTGATGCATGGGGCAATATCCTATTAAAAAATCCATTCTCTATCACCAAACCACTCTCTGGTATAAGGAATTAGATGACATTCTTGCACTTTAATGTACTTGTTCTGGTCCATTGTCCCATCAACTATGTGTAGTCCACTTGTGCTGTACACAGATATGGCTCCCCAGACCATGATCTTTGTTTGAAATTTCACAGTCTTCTTTAAGCAGTCAGATTTAAACTCTTCTCCTGACTTTCTTCGACCTGTCTGGATTCTGTCATCTAGGACTGCAATTGTGAACTCATCAGAAAAGACAACCTCAAAGAGAAGTGACCATTAAAACAAAAAATGATTATTTGGCACTTGTGATGTTCTTATATCTAAATATTATATTGTGCATAATTCAGTCAAAATCATGCCAGTAAAAATGATCAGAAATTGCTGATAAAATAGTTTATCAGCAATTTTTTTCAACAATCGCTGACTTGGAAACTAATTGAAAAATCCAGACTCTGTTAAAAATATCTTTTTATCTGCTGTTGTATTGTTTGGGGACTTATCACTTTAGAAACCCTTCACAACTTTAAAATCAAAGGACAAGCCCTATATAATTGATCCACTGGATTGATGTTGAATGAAATGAAAATTCGAAAAATAATTAGAAAGACAATTTTATCTTTCTAATTATTTTTTATGTTTAAAAAGTGGAATTTTTTAATGAAATTGTAGATATCCTTTACAATTTTAGCAGTACTATATATATATATATATTATATATATATATATATATATATATATATATATATATATATATATATATATATATATATATATATATATATATATATATATATATATATATATATATATATATATATATATATATATATATATATATATATATATATTAGGGTGGGTCGAAATGTATATATTAGGGTGGGTCGAAAATATTAAGTTGGAGATCCTATACATGTCTAAAAAGTTGCATTTTGATGTACTCGTTTAAAAAAACCTCACTTTTTATTTTATGGACAGTGTCTACAGGTCCCAACTCTGACTATAAAGACTACATAAATACCCAATGTTAGTGTAATGTATTGCAATGTATTACAAATTAAAAAGAATGTAAACTGTAACAAATCAATGTTAAACAGCAACAATACAAAGTTGTTTAACCTAACTGTTAATAAAATCTTTCTTGCTGTCTATTTTTGCTATCTCTAATCTGGATTTCTTGCTCTGTAACACCATGCCATGACGGGACTTTCTCCAATAAACTTTACAGCTCGCAGCGCTAACGTCTTTAATTGTTCTCTCTACTGCCTGTGAATGACATGGAACATCGGGCAGTAGTATTGGATGTGTGTAAGTAAGTTGATCATTTGAAAGGTGTGATAGCATCGGAGGAGACGTAACATTACTCTGGTCCCAGTCAATCATGTTAATAAACGATGTCTCAGCCAGATTTAATGTTATATCCTTCTTATCAAAGGCGCGAACCGGTATGTTACTATTTGTCTGCTATTCTCTTGCTCTTATTATTTGTTCTACTGAAAAACAACAAATTTCCATATCACTATCACTAACTGCAGCTAACAGAATGTTTTCAACATGCGCAAAGTAGCAGTTATTTTTGAGAACAGGACGAACCACAGCCTGATCTAATGCATCAAGTTCATGAAACAACTGAACTAAGTAAAAGAAGTTGTTATCACCATTTTGGCAAGAAAAATTTGATTTGATTTTGAACCAAGAGGGTCTGTAAAAATTCAAAATGAAATGCGTTACTCTTCTGAGAGGTTTAGATGCCACCTCTCTAGACATGTAGAGATGCAAAATCCTGTTGGCTTTCATCAACCACCGAGCATGACTTATATTTCCAGGTAAACTCTTCTTGAGGAAATCAATATCTGTAGAAGCCTGACGTCCACGCTGTACTGCTAGACATGCTTTAAAAAAGTACAGTTGGTCTGTGCTAAGATCCTTCTTGACAGCTTCATCACAATCAGTCACCTTACCAGTAATTGGCAAATAATTAACTACAGGCAATTCATTCAGATCATATTCTAGAGCTGAGCTAATTGTACCTGTCGATGTGGAAGGTCCTGTAGTTCGAGCAAAATCCACGCCTGCCAAAAACCTTCTAAATGGCAGCTCGTTACAGTGTAGAAGGCATACCAACCACTGTAATGGTCTACCTTAGTTCTCCTCCAATTTTCTTATGATTCCATTGCTTTTACCTGTATTATTATTTGTGTTATCACACACAACATCTTAAATGCTTTCTATGGAGTCTGTCTCTATAATAACTGACATTAACTCCTTTGTTATATCAGCAGCTTTACTACTTTCAGGAACTACATGATTGATGTATATGTTTCCTGGATACAAGACAATATTATAGTGTTCTTCTTTTTTACTTCTTCTACAACCAAAACTCTCAACTAATGTAACGTCTTGTTTTCCATCAAAGCATATACAGCACAATTCCTCATTGCTCTGCATATGTTCTTCAACCAGAGTATCTCTCCAGAAATCCTTTAGTCGACGTAGCTTTGAAGGATCAAGAATTGTTGCAGACAACATACTGAGGTCTTTTAAAACAGCATTAACAATAAGACATGTATCTCTGTTGCTAATTTTGCATTGATCAACTGCTTTACATAATTCCTTGTACTTGTTTCTGTTCTGCTCTGATACTGTCTCTTCCTCTGATGTATAATTACTTTCAGACGTGTTATGCTCATCCTCATCAATATCTTCCTCAGTTTCATATTCAACCTTTTTTGACTGTTCTTCATCACACACTGATTTCATAAATTTGCATTTTTGTCTCTTTTCTAGTGTTGCTGTCGTTTCTTTGTCTACTCGACCAATTATCATATTTCTAACAGTTTTCTGGTCAACCCTGAAATCCCACTTTATCAATGGAATTTTATTTGGCAGTGGGCATGTACATAAGTTCCTATCTCTAATGCCCAAATCAAAGCATTTGCAGGTACATATGTCAAATAACTGCTTAAAAGAATTCAACTTCTCAGTGAACGTGTCTGATGTTCTTTTTGAATCGGAATATTTTTCAAGTGTATGTACTTTATCCATAAGTCTTCTAATCCTAATGATTGTGCTATTCACTTCTATTGTGAGAATACTTGCTTTTGAATAAACACATTTCACTCTGTCTGCAAAAATTGAATATCTTTCTTGCAAGCTAATTTCTAATACTGTTTTCTGATAATAATAGAACATCTTAATAACGTCTTCATATGATGGGATTTGATTTTCAGGAAGATCAACTAACTGCCCAAACAATGGATGTTAAGTTGCACTTCGTGTACACATACTATCCATATTTAATATAATTTGTCTAAAATAATAAAAAAAACTACAACAAGTTATGTTTACAATAAATAAAAGCTGTTAAAACAATTTTTTGTGAGAATTTAGTCAATAAATATTCCAATATTTACACAGACTATAATATGTTGAGCCCTCTCATAAATAGGCCTACATGTTAAATGAAGTGATCTTTCTACAGTCTAAACTATAGCCTACTGTAGTATACATCTATATTAGCCTACTTGAATTTTACTATAGATCTATTATTGCAAAGAAGAAAATAAAATTACAAAATAATATATTAGATATTTTGCTTGTTTTTAAAAAATCCAACACATGGTTTGTTGCTAATGTTGGTGACGTCACATGTAAATAACCTTATAAAATTTATTCCATTTCTTTTTAAGCACTTATAGTTAGGTGCTAAACCATTTGCCAATGCATTTTAGTCAATGATTTATAGTTGGTGCGTATTTAGATTGTACCAAGGAAATGGTTAAAATACATCAAATAAGGTAAGACTTTAATCAAAAGTTAGGACCCCTAAACGTTTCATAAAAAATCTTTAAATATTATTTTCATACTGTACTGATGCCAAGACAACTTTTTGTTCATGTACATGAAAGATAAAAAAATTCGACCCAGCCTAATATATATATATATATATATATATATATATATATATATATATATATATATATATATATATATATATATATATATATATATATATATATATATATATATATATATATATATATATATATATATATATATATATATATATATATGTATATATATATATATAGAGAGAGAGAGAGAGTGAGAGAGACATATCAAGAAAAAAAAGAAAGAATAATAAAGAAACAGTTTTTTGTCTGTTTGTTTGTTCGTTTTGTTCTAATAAATGTTCTTTATACATAGATACTGCTTGATGAAATGTAAAGTATCATTTGGTGCATATAGTGAAGCTCTTATTATTGATTTCAGTATGACACATCAGTAATGTTTTATGTGTGTATAATTTTGCACTATAAGATATTTTAACTAAAATTTTTGTTTTTTTATAATTTGTTTATTTTTTGTTTTATCAGTATTTATCATATGGAGTTTCAAATATTTTATCCAAAATTTATCATCTTTTTATTTTGATATTTACTAACTGTTTATAATAAATAAAATTTAAATTATTATATATTTTTTAATTCTAATTTTCCAAGAATATTTTATTCTTTTTGAAAAAAAATATTTTATTTTCAACTTTTTAATTTTTAACTTGTTTTTTAACTTATTAATGAAAAAACTCTTACACTGCAGCAAAAAACAAGAATGACAAAAAAATTGGTAAGAACAAAAAAATCTTTTTTAACTTTAATAATTTTTAGTTTTTTATATAAAAGTTTTCATTTTATATAAACATAAAAAGTTTTCAAGTTATATAAATATATAATAAATATATAGATTATATATATTTAAAAAATTATATAAAATATATAAAAAGTTTAATGAATTGTTATAAATTATTATAAATTAATTTTAATCTAATTTCAATAGTTTTTGTTTTAATTGTTTTTTTATTGTTAGGTTTTGCGTTGTCAGTTTGATGGTGGTCAAAGAAAGACATTGGATGGTTTAACTTCTAGCTCTACTATTAGACAACTCCAAGAAGCTATTTATCAATTGACGTCTATTCCACAGTCTATACAAAAAGGTAAAAATATTTAAATTTAAATTCAACAAAACATTTTGATTATTATTACTTGTTATATATATTATATTATTATTACTTGTTATAGTTTTGTTAAGCATTTCTTTTTTTAATTTTTAATTTACTTTTCATTTTTGACTTGCTATTAAGTAAAATAAAGAAATCAGTTGTTAATAAGGGAATTAAGCTTACCTTAGAAGTTATTTTTTTTAATTTTTTTTTATTTTAATTCACCTCCTCAAGGCCGAAAAGGCCACTACAGACGAGGAGGCTACTTATTTGTATTATTTGTATACTTATTACTTAATTAAGCTTACCTTAGAAGTTATTAATAAGAGGATCAAACTTTCTTATGAATTTTTGACAATAAATCATTTTCAACAAACCATTTCATAAGCATATTATTTCAAAGCAGAGATCCTTTTTAAATAATAGTAGAATTTAATTATGATATTATTTTAAAAGTTATGCATTAATTAAAATAGAGATTACAGACAAAGAATTGTTTATTTTAATATTTTTTTTAGTTTTTAAAAATTTTATAAACTGTTTAGGTATTTTCTGTTCTATTTTCATAAGCTTTTTTAATGAAGTTTTCATAAGTTATTTTTATAAGCTTTTCATAAATATATAACCAATAACTGTTAATGATATATTATTATTAAGATGCCTTATTCTATTTATCTGACTGTCAAGGAAACAGTGCTACTTATACACTGAGTTGACTGAGCTGGGACTTGAATCAACAAGTGAATATTAAGCAGCGCATTGAGCCTGATGTTGGATCATTACTAATAATAAAATAAGTTTAATAATAAATAAGTTTTAAAGCAAAAATATTTTGTTTGGATATATCCTACTTCTATTTAGTGATATGCAGATATCCTCCTTATATGCAGATATCCTCCTATTTAGTGATATGCAGATATCCTCCTTAAACAATTGACTGTAAAAACCTAGACACTTTTAATTTTTAATTTAATGATTTGCGGATATCCTCCTAAAACAATTGACTTTAACAATCCAGATTATTTGATTTTTTTTTCTTTAGTGATGTGTGGATATCCTCCTAAAACAATCGACTTTACAAACCCAGATACTTTGCTCGAGTCTTCTATAATAAGATCAGGTGATGTCTTAATCGTTGAAAATCAAAAAGTACTGGATAACTCAAAATCTTCAAGTTTGGCATCAAGTTGTTCAAAAAAACTTGTTAGAAAGTAATTTATAAATAATTTTTTGATAATTTTACTTTTTTAATTATTATATTGTACCATCTAACTTGTTAAAAAATTTTTAACTAGACTTGTTTTTTTCAAATATAATTTTTTTTTGTTTTAAAAAAATATTTTATTTTTATTAGGGTTGTTCCTGCTGATAATTTATCTTTTTTATTAGGGTTGTTCCTGCTGATAATTCATGTCTTTTTGCTAGCTTGAGGTACATTTTGTAATTATTCACTAAAAGTTGATGTATTATTTTAACAGAGTTAGAAGTCTTCTAAAACCATATTTTCGACCAAAATATTTTACAAATTTTTGCTTGAAAAGATGGTTTCAGAGGAAATAAATAAAAATGTTTTTTTTTTAAAAAAAAATACTGTTAAAGATGAAATTTATTTTAGGTGTCCTTAATACATAGGCTTAAGGCCTACAGTCTAGGTTTTAGGTCTATTAGGTCTAACAGTGCCATGTTGCGCATGGGTGGTGTCCCTGTTTGTACTTTTGGTGTGCATTGCAGAGGCCACATTTGGAGCCCTTTGTTACGGCTTAGGGTTTATTAATAGTAATGAGGCTATTGCTTAGTTGTTAAATAGTGTACTGAGTACTATCTATACTTGAGTCAAGTTCTTTATAAATTTAAAATGACCAAAGTACCTAAAACTAAAAAACACAAAAAACCATCATCATCACCAAGTTCTCTAAACCTATCATTTACTAATATTCGTGGTCTTCGAAGTAACTTTTCTTCTGTTGAGTCTTATCTCTTGCAAAGTTCACCAGACCTACTTGCTCTTTGTGAGACTAATTTGAGTTCGGCTGTCCCATCTTGTGATCTTAGTGTTGATGGTTATCTTCCTTTAATTCGTAAAGACTCCAATAATCACATGCTTGGCCTGGGCATCTACATTCGTAAGAACTCACCCATTTGTCATGAAACTAGGTTTGAATCTACAGACTATTCATTTATGTGCTTTCGTTTAGCACAACTTCACTCTATCGCCTTTCTCTTTGTTCTATATCGCTCTCCTTCATCCCAAGATTGCGCTATTCTTGATGTTATTTCTGATCAAATTGACCAAGCCCTCTCTCTTTATCCATCGGCCAATATCGTCGTTGTTGGTGACTTTAATGCCCATCACACCGATTGGCTTGGCTCTAGTGTCAGTGACTCTGCTGGCGTTAAGGCCCTCAACTTTTGCCTTTCTCAATCTCTAACTCAAATAGTCAACTTTCCAACTCGTTTTCCAGACAACCCTAATCATTTACCTTCTCTACTCGACTTATGTCTTGTTTTGGATCCTAGTCAGTGCTCAATTTCTCCACATTCACCCTTAGGTACTTCTGATCACGGTTTGATCTCTCTAAAACTATTATCAAATTCTTCTACTTCATCAGAATCCCCCTATCATCGTACCACATACAACTACCTTAAAGCTGACTGGGACTCTTTCCGTGATTTTCTTCGTGATGGCCCTTGGGTAGAAATCTTTCGTCTTCCTGCTGACAAATGTGCTTCTTACATAACTTCGTGGATTCAGGCTGGCATGGAATCTTTTATTCCCTCTCGACGATTCCAGGTCAAGCCTCACTCTTCTCCTTGGTTTTCCTCACATTGCGCTGCAGCAATTTCTAATCGAAACCGTTACTTCCATATCTATCAGCAAAACAATTCTCCAGAAAACAGACATCTGTTCACTATCGCCAGAAACCATTGTAAAAAGGTTTTGTCTGATGCCAAAGCTCGCTATTCTCAGGTCATTAAATCTCGTATCTCATCACAAAAATTAGGCTCTCGAGACTTCTGGAGAATCTTTAACAGTATCAATAATAAGGGCAAATCTGTTATTCCTTCTCTCTTGTATGGTTCAGACTTTATCACCTCACCTAAAGACAAAGCTGAATTGTTTGCTAAGAACTTTTCATCAATATCATCTCTTGATTCCACCAGTTGCGTTTTACCTGACATAGCCGTCAAACAGGTTGATCCCTTGCTTGACATTCGCATCACTTCAGCTTCTGTATCTAAAGTAATTTCCTGCTTAGACTCTTCAACAGCTTGTGGTCCTGACAACATTCCTGTTGTAGTCTTGCAGAGGTGTTCTCCGGAGCTTTCATCCATACTTTCTAAATTATTTAACAAGTGCTTATCAGAGTCTTGTTTTCCATCATGCTGGAAAGCAGCATCTGTTATCCCTATTTTCAAAAATTCCGGAGAGCGATCTGATTCATCTAACTACCGTCCCATTAGTCTCCTTCCTGTCATAAGCAAGGTTTTTGAATCTTTAATCAACAAACACTTAATCTCTCATCTTGAATCAAATAACTTACTTTCTGATCATCAATATGGATTTCGGTCTTCTCGTTCTACAGCTGATGTGCTAACAGTAATAACCGATAGGTTTTACCGTGCATTAGATAAAGGTGGAGAGGTTAAGGCTATCGCACTTGACATTTCTAAAGCTTTTGATAAAGTTTGGCATGCTGGTCTTCTCCATAAGCTTTCTTCTTATGGTGTAGCTGGTAACGTCTTTAAGATTATTGAGTCCTTTCTTTCCAATCGTAGTATAAAAGTTGTCCTCGATGGACAACACTCTTCTTCACATCCTGTAACTTCAGGGGTTCCTCAAGGTTCAATCCTTGGCCCTATACTCTTTTTAATTTACATTAACGATCTTCCAGATATTCTCACATCTAAGGTGGCATTATTCGCTGACGACACTACCATTTACTCTTGTCATGATAAGAAGCCTACACTCTCTGATTGCTTGGAGGGGGTATCTGAGCTTGAAAAGGATCTCACTTCTGCTACAGCATGGGGCTCACAGTGGCTGGTGAACTTTAATTCAGATAAAACTCAATTTTATTCGGCCAATTGTTATCGTAATAATTTAGATCTTCCTATATTTATGAATGGTAATGTACTAGATGAGTCATCTACCATTCATCTTCTAGGATTAATTCTTACTTCTGATCTTTCTTTTAAACCGTATATCAAATCCATTGCAAAATTAGCATCTGCTAAGGTTGCATCTCTTTATCGAGCTCGACACTTTCTTAGTCCAGATTCTATTCTCTATCTCTATAAATCTCAAATCCGTCCCTGTATGGAATACTGTTGCCACATCTGGGGCGGATCTTCTAATGATGCTCTTTCTCTTTTAGACAAGGTGCAAAAACGAATTGTAAACATAGTTTACAATTCGTTTGTAATTCGACCTGCTCTGGCAGCCAATCTCCAACCTTTGTCACTTTGTCGTAATGTTGCTTCTCTTTCTCTTTTCTACAAATACTATAATGGGCACTGCTCTAAAGAGCTAGCGTCCCTTGTGCCATCTACTAAAATTCATTCTCGTGTTACTTGCAATTCAATTAAGTCTCATCCTTTTTCTGTGACTGTTCCTAAGTGCTTCAAAAACTCTTATTCTTCTAGTTTTTTTCCTCGAACATCAGTTCTTTGGAATTCGCTTCCTTCATCTTGCTTTCCTGATTCATATAATTTGCAATCTTTTAAGTCATCAGTCAATCGTTATCTTGCTCTACAGATTTAGTCTTTTCTCTTCCAGTAACTTCCAACTCTTATAGTGGTTGCTTGCAGCCTTGTTGGAAGTGAAGATGTTAAAAAAAAAAAAAAAAAAAAAAAAAATATTGTCTAGGTTTTAGGCCTACTGTCTAGTCCTAAGGTTTACTGTATTAATTACTACTTAATTACAATGTAATTTTTATATATACACTTAAATAAAAAACATGATAAAAAATTTTTTTTTAGTGAAATATTTTAAGATTTATAATAAAATTTAAACAAAAAAGTACATCTATATATTTATATATATTTATATATAGATAATATCATAAATAAAGATAATATAACATAAAAACATGAAGAAAAAATGGATCAAAGAAGTTTATAATAAATTTGTGTATTGTTTCACAGTTTTGTGCTTTTCAACTCAGAAATTTATGCAGATGATTTACGAGTTCTAGCAGCTGAGTGCATTGCAGCTGATCCAATAACATATAATGATGCTTTTCTTGGAAAATCCAACACTGACTACTGTCTTTGGTTAAAGCAGAAGGATCACTGGGGAGGTTAAACGATTATATTTAAAATAACCATACAAATCATCGTTTTGAATATTTTTTTTCTTTCAAACAATGTTTTCTTTTAATATTTGACAAAACATCAAACAATCGACAATTTTTTCTTTAAATAATATTTTTTTTTAATCGATTTCGCTTTATAGATGCCTAAGAATCATGTTTTCATTTAAGGAGCAATAGAGATTAATGTTTTGTCTACTCAAAATGAGATTGAAATAAATGTTGCAGATATTCAGTCAGGAAGATTGGATGTATATGGTAAGTTCATTTAAGAACATTTATAAATTTTTCTATACTTCAGTATATAGTTATATAATTATTAAGTTTGTTAGTGAATAGTGTATATTACAGTACAACTTCTTTAATTCAAAATCATAAGAAAGATAAAAATCTAAATTAGGGAGATGCTTCTTCTTATATTCTTTGTTTCTTGAAACAGTTTATGATGATTTGGTCTGGAACAGACTATCATCCTTTTTCAGCATAAACATAGTTGTTTATGCTGAAAATTATTATTATAACATGAATTTTAAAATATAATAAGTGTATAAATAATAAATATAGATTTTGTAACAATTAAGGGAAAAGAATTATAAATTTGAAATATTGTAAACACTATAGCTTATTTATTATAAATGTAAACTTACTTGTTTACACTTGTTTTGACTGGATACTATTTTTTATTTTTATTTATTTTGTTGTTATTCTGTTCTATTATAATAAGATAAAAAATGAAATGGAACTTGTAAATAAGCAATAGTTTATGTTAATTAAATCATTTGTGTATGAAATATTTTTAGGGAAAATGCTCAGAACAAAAAAGTGCAGTTCAGTATATCCTGTTTTAAGAAATGTTATTCAACTCTGCATCTAAATCTTATAGTACAATCCTATATATTTACAAGAATGATTAACATTGTGAATATTAAAAGTTTAAGTTATTGAGTCTATAGAAGTTAATAAGAGTTTACATGTAAAGCTCATGTACATGTCCAGCACATTGCTCTACTTGTTTTGTCATAAATGTAAAAGTTTGAATTATTTCCTGCTTATATACAAAATCAACCAGAAATACTTTTTTGAAGAATTTAATGAAATAAAATACCAGAAAATTATTTAGTTCTCTAAATGCAGTTAATGCATTATTATTGCATTATGCTTACATTGCATTATACTACAATTATACTATAATTACTTTCATTGTACTTTCACACAATTTTATGCTTACTATACTTTCACACATTTTTATGAAATCTATTAATAGAAGTGTGCAGAATGCTCTGGTGAAACTAACAGGTGTGAAAATGTTAGAGTTTTTGTTCTATAATATAATTATATTATATTAAAAAATGAATATGGGAAGTAAGCTTTTTTAAATCAAAGCCTAATATTTATTATTATATTTGTTTTAAATATAATAATAACATTATAATAGTTATAAGAATAATATTAATTATAATAATATTAAATTGTTTTAATTTATTTTTTGTTTTATTTTTGTTAATTTATTTACAGGTGAAAATAAAAACTACCACAAACGAGTGTTTCTTTTATATGATGGAATTCATTATGATGCAATAGGGTTAGAAGAGAATGGAGTTATTACAAAAACTGTGTTTCATACGTCTGATATAAACATACAAATTGAAGCCCTTGCATTAGCAGAAGATGCAAAAAAGGTTTTTCATTTACAAGTTTTTTGTTTTGTATAAAGAGTTTTGTTAAATAAATTAGCTTTTATTAATAATAACAATATTCATAGAATTTAATATTCACAACAATATCAAAAAAACTCAAGAAACAAAAAAAAAAATAACAACATAATTCATAGAAACAATAACAAAAGCAAAAAACTAAAAACAAAGAAATGCAACAATAAAATGCAACAAAATTACTACAAAAATAACAACAACAAAATGCATAGAAACAAACTCACACAAAAAGTAAAGCATCCAAAGACAAAAATGATAAAAAAAAGCATCCAAACTACAAAATAATATCAAAATTTATAGAAACAAACACAATTCGATAATTGTTATCATTTAAAAATATTTCATCAAAAGCATTTGTAAGTAATTTAAATAACTTACTTAACAAGTAAAATATTAAGGTAGCTTAAAGGTAGCTTAAAGGTAACTTATTAAAGTAACTTACTCCTGGTATCTCTTGGAACACAAGAAAATACAAAATTGTTACATAAAAATTCATTTTTACATAATATAAAAGCTTTGTTAAATAATGGTTACGTCCTTAATTTGAAGATGATAAAATAAGCAAGAACTTTTACATAGTGTTTAGCTCAATAAATTTCCTAAAAAATATATATTTTTTTTACTCAAAGTAATGAGGTTCTCCACTTGATAAATAAAAGTAAACAAAATAAATATATGCTGGTAGTAATAGCTTTTTTTCTTCTATTCCCTTTAGGAATTGTCTTTGCAATAGTTAAGATAATTTCAGAACCGAGCAAAGTCTTCACCTAAAAATACCATTCAAGAACTTGAGATTTCAAAGGTCTGGAAATTAAAGCTTAAGTTAGGATTCCATAATATACCACAATTATATTTAGGGTGGCCACTGGTCATGGAAATCATGGAAATGTCTTGGAATTTTATTTCGTCATGGAAAAAGTCATGGAATTCCTAAATTTTCATGGAAAATCATGGAAAATTCATGGAACTTTTTAAAATTATTTTTATTTTTTTCCTGCTTTTGATATTTTTATGATGCAAACAAAAGTACTAGTACGTCTAAGTCTTTTTTGAAAAATATATTTTTGCAGTTATCAAAGAAGTAAAAGAAAAAGAGTTTTTTTTAGACATGATTTTAGAAATTTCTACCAATTAGTTTTTGGTTTGTATGTTTTATAATGACCAAGTTGCATATGCTTAGTGCATGGCAAGTACTAAATATTTTACTTTTGTGATTTATCATAAAAGTTTATGAAGAGTCATGGAAAAGTCATGGAAAAGTCATGGAATTTCATTTTCAAATTTGAGTGGCCACCTTGTATATTATATAACATAAATTCTTGATAGGCATATTACATTTTAAAAATATCTAATGCTAGCAGACATTTTTGGTTGTACCTGTTATTATTAACTAAAAGTTCTTGAAACATAATTTATAAAAATCAAGATTTTTTTAAATTTTTTTATATTCTTGACTAATATTAGTTTTGTATTTTTATATATAAATTTATTTTTATATATTATTTTTATATATAAATTTATTTTTATATATTATTTATTTTTTTAAATTTATCAAAAAATCTCTAGTTTAATTACCTGTCACTAAAGACCTGTCTTAACCTGTTGCATAAGACCAACATCACAACCTGTCATATAAGATCTGTCACAACCTGTCACATAACCCCTGTCAAAACCTGTCACATATGATCTGTCAAAAACTATCACATAAAACCTGTCATATAAGGTTTGTCACAACCTGTCACATAAGATCTGTCACAACTAATAACATAAGACCTGTTGCAACTTGTCACATAAGACCTGTTACAACCTGCCACATAAGACATGTCACAACTTTTCATGTAAGACCTGTTACAACCTGTCACATAAGACTTATCACAACCTGTCACATAAGAAAGGTCACATTCAAGATGCTTGTTTCAAGCTTGTTTTAAGCAATCAATTAGTGATGAATTTTTGTCATGGCTGATGTGTCATCAGTAAGCAGAATCACTTTAGAGGTAAGATTTCAAGTAATTCTTTAATAAAGATATAAAACAAAATAAGATCAAAGTTATGTGGTATCCTAGAAATTACTGGAAATTAAGGAAAGTAATGTCTATCAAGGGTAACTTTAATACTAATAATAAAAAATCTTGTTAGTGTCTTTTTTTGTTTTTTTGTGCACTGCTTTGGATGTTTTCTGATGATAACATCAAGTGTGACCTTCTTTTTATTAAGGTTCTTCCTGAGATGTAATCTGATTATGTAAAATTGTTATCTAAATAAATTTTTCTTTGCAAATACATCATGAATATATAGTTTCAAATGAAGCATGACTTCACAAACTGTGAAGTCATGCTTTATTTGAAATGTCATGCTAAATTTTTTCATGCTAAATAAAAAGATTATGCTACTTTATATTCAAGAATGGATTGAGTGTATTCAAGACCTTGGTTACTTCAGAATAAAATCTTTTTGTTGTTTTTAAGAACACTTTTTTAGAGAAAGAAAACATTGTGAAAATCTATAAACCATCCTATCTATAAACCTATATAAAAGATCCTATTTATTTAGAGAAATCTTTAAATTTTTTTAAACGTTTAATTTAAATTTTTTTAAACGTTTAATTTAAATTTTTTTAAAAGTTTAAGCATTTAATGTTTCTTTTCAAAAATTTAATAAGAATTAAACATGAGGTGTTTAAGTTTTTTTTCTATACTCCTATCCAGTTTTATATCTACAAACAGAATACAATTACCGAAATGTTTTACTAATTGGTTAGCTTCAGTAGATTTGTTTCTTCTTTCCTCTTTTTTTTTAAACATTGTTGAAATAATTACATATGTTTTATATATAATATAATTATATAAATATATATCTCAACACAGTTGAGATAATTGCTCATTATTTGATTTACTACTTATCATTTGTTGGTTTGCTTCTCATCGATCAGTTTGTTACGTATCATTTGTTGATTTGCTTCTCACCATTTGATTTGCTAACCATCATTTGATTTGTTACTTATCATTTGTTGGTTTGCCCTCTCATCATTTGATTTGTTACTTATCATTTCTTGGTTTGCTACTCATCATTTGATGTGTTACTTATCATTTGTTGATTTGCTTTTCATCATTTGATTTGTTACTTATCATTTGTTGGTTTGCTACTCATCAATTGATTTGTTACTTATCATTTGTTGGTTTGCTTCTCATCATTTGATTTGTTACTTATCATTTGTTGATTTGCTACTCATCAAGCAATTTGCTATTTATAATTTATTTTGCTATTTATCATTTGTTGATTTGCAATTTATCATTTGATTTGCTATTAATCATTTGATTTGCTATTAATCATTTGATTGCTATTAATTATTTGATTTGCTACTTATCATTTGATTTGCTACTTATCATTTGATTTGCTACTTATCATTTGATTTGCTATTCATCATTTGTTGATGAGTAGTCATTATTTGTTGAAGAGTGGCAAATCAACACCATTTAAATTTGAGAATTTACATACGAGACACATGTATTTCGAACCGCCGTTATAACAATTCAAACAAAAGTGTCTCTAATCGGCAAAATTCTAATAATTTTTTACCAAGTTAGAAAAAAACGCAATGTTAACTGCGCGAAAAATCGAAAATCACTATTAAATTATAATTATTCATTTTAAGTTAAATATAATTTATTTATTTTTAGTTATAATTAAAAAATTTTTGTATATATTATAAATAATTAATTAGATACTTATATTATAGAATAATTCTAAATATAATTGATAAAAATTAATTAAGTTATTATAATTTTAGAAACGTCAGTACACCGATCTGGCAGGCTTCACATTACGTTGTTTAGTTTGCAGCACCCCACTCACTGGTCAATCTCAAGCACAACAACACGCTAAAATTACCGGTCACATGAATTTCGGAGAAGTTTAAAAAAAAAAGAAAATTATTTATTAAAATAATATTTCCATTTGTTATTTTTGTGCTATTGTATCTTAGTAATTTCTGTAATATATTTCACTTAATCGAACTATTTTATGTCGTTAATATGTTAATTTATGCAATTGTTGTATGTTACCAATAGTGAAATATTGCATGTCACCTGCTTACCGCCCCAACCCTTAAAAAAAAATAATGCTGATGCTATCCGTAGTGTGGCTCTAATCGTTCGCATAAAGTTTTTTAAGATCCTTTTTGACATCTTTCAAACCTGTATATGCCTTTGAATATTATTCCAGTCAACTTTCTCTCTATATTCACAATGAACAAAATATATTGATAAATAAACTGTACAGAAAACAATCATTTGATAATGGAAAAATGGATAGTATGACAATGATCAGTGGTGTTCCTTAAGAATCAATTTGTGGACCAAATTTCGTATTTTTATAAACTACTTAAATAAATTTTCTAACATTTTTATTTTAATTAAATTTATTGTCATAACGTTATCAATAGTTAGCATCTAAATAAAAGTTTTGATAATTTAATATAGAAAAATAAAATATATTTATATAAAAAAAGAACCAAAATTTTTCAAACTGATTCGTCTTTCCGTTATACTTCAGCGTTTTCAACATTTTCAGCATTTTCATAACATATTTTGTTGACTGTTTAAATTTCTAGGGGATAACTATCCTTAAATATTATTAAAACTAAGTATGTATTATTTACTTGTGTTCTACTATTCTTATTGATAACAAGCTCATAAAAAAAGTAAGTTTGGCGTTGTAGAAAACTTTAAAAGTTTGTTATAAAAGTTTAACTTAAAGAGATCACACGAATAAAATTAAAAAAAAAAAAAAAAAAATTTTAAAGTATTATGCAATGCTAAACAATTAAATTAATCTTTTTTGAAAATCTTTCAACAAAAAAGCTTCAACATTCTTAAGTAAATTTTGGAAACATAGCTTGATGTATTACTAATGTAGAAGTTTGCAAATAAAAAACACCACTGCTCTGAAATTTTACCGCCAGGTTAAAACTTGTATCAACTAAAAGGTTTTAAATAATTTTATTTCTATAGAGACAGTTATTATTATATATATCATCGTAAGAGTATTTCTATTCCGAGCTTCATTTATTTTTTTTAATACCGACAACTCCTTATCTTCTTTTTATAACTGATACTGACAAAAATTGCTTCTTAAAATATTTAGATATTTTATTTTAAAGAAAAATTTGTTTTAACATTATATATAATATATAAAATTAAATATTATTTATTCACTGTTTGATATTTATATATTGTCAAGCCTGTTTGTGTTTTTATGTCTATTTTATTTTACTTATATTTAAATTTCTAGCGGTTCTCGACGACAACACCCAGAGGACTTCTACGAGTCTCCGGATTCCTTATATTAGAAAAAATGTAAAAATCTTACTATATTTTCATTTTCTTTTTTATTAGAAAAAAAAAATGAAAATATAGTGTCATCGCTTTAAACATCTTTTCTATGGAATAAAATAGCTTGACTTTTCGCAAGAATTCTATTCTTAAAAACTTAAAAAAATCATTTTAGGGTTTTTGAAATTTTTCTTTTAAATGGGTTTACTTACATTATAGTATTTTTTTTACAATTATCCCGTTTGTCAGTTTTGAATATCCAGATTATTCTTAAATTTATCACTACTTTACTCTTACCCCTTTTTCCCCGTTTACTCTATCCCCTTTTTCTTTATTCTATATTCTTCCTTCATCTCAAGACTGCACTCTTTTCAATGTTATTTTCGATCAAATCAGAATCCCCCAACATTATTACCTCTTGTAACTATCTCAAAGCTGACTAGGACTCTTTCCTTGATTTTCTTTGTGATGGCCATTGGGTAGAAATCCTTTTTGTTCCTGATGACAAATGTGCTTCTTATGTAGCTTTTTAGATTGGCATTGGAATACCATTAGCTGGCATGGAATGGAATCTTTTATTCCTTTTCGACAATTTCAAATCAAACCTCACTCTTCTCCATGGTTTTCTTTTCATTGTGCAGCAATTTCAAATCGTGACTATTACTTTCATATCCATCACTGTTCGCCAGAAAACAGACGCATGTTTACTATTGCTAAAACTATTGTAAAAAGTTTTTACCTAGTGCTAAAGCCCGCTCTTTTCAGGTCACGAAACCTCGTATTTCATCTCAAAAATTAGACTTCCGAAACTTTCTGAGAATCTTTAAAAGCGTCCATAAAAAAGAAAATCTGTTATTCCACCTCTCTTGTATGGTTTAGACTTTGTTACCTCAACACTAAAGATAAAGCTGAATTAATTACTAAGGCCTTTTAATCAATCTTATCTCTAGAAACAACTAATTACATCCTTCCTAAAATAGCCGACAATTCCATAGCTTGACATTCGTAAAATTCTAGCTTCTGTATTCAAAGTAATTTTCTGCTTAGACTAGACTACAGCTTGTGGTTCGGACAACATACCTGTTATAGTTTTGCAGAAGTGTTCTCTGGAGCTGCCGTAAATAATTTAAAAACTATATAACAAGTGCTTATCAGAGTCTTGTTTTCCAGCCTGCTGGAATACGGCATCTATTATCCCAGATTTCAAAAATTCTGGAGCGATCTGACTCATCTAACTATCGTCCTAATAGTCTTCTTCCCATCATAAACAAAGTTTTTTAGTCTTTAATTAACAAACATTTAACCTCTTATCTTGAGGCTAATAGCTTTCTGATTACCAATATGGACTACTGCTGATTTGTTATTAACTGATAAGTTTTATCGTGCATTTGATAAATTTGGAGAGGTTAAAGCTATCGTTCTCGACATTTCTAGAATATTTAATAAAGTTTTGCATTCTGGTCAACTCTATAACCTCTCTTCTAGATCAAATAACATCTTTAAGACTATTGAATCCTTCTTTACCAATCGTAGTATAAAATTTATCTTTGATGGGTAGCACTCTTCTTCATTTCCTGTAATTTTAGTGGTTTCTCAAGAATCTAGGCTTGATCCTATACACTTTTTAATTTACATTAACGATCTCCCATAAATTCTTACATCTAAGATAGCATTGTTTGCTGATGAAACCTTCATTTTTTTTTGTTTTGATAAGAAGCCAATTCTCTCTGTTGCTCGGAGGGAGTATTTAAGCTTGAACGGATTTCGCTTCTGCTACAGCATGAGGCTCTCTGTGGTTGATGAACTTTAATTTAGATAAAACTCAATTTTTTTTCAGCTAATTCTTATTACAATAATTTTCAATATTTATAAACGATAATGTACTCAATGAGTCATAAACCCTTCATCTTCTAGAATTAACTCTTACTTCCGATCTTTCTTGGGCACCATACATCAAATCTATTGCAAAACTAACATCTGCTAAGGTTGCATCACTTTGTATTCTCCACTTTCTTATTCCGGTTGCATCTCATTGTATTCCCCACTTTCTTACTCCGGACTCTATTCTTTATCTCTATTAATCTGAAAGCTGTCCTTGTATAGAATACTGTTGCCATATCTGGAGCGGATCTTCTAATGATGCCCTTTCTCTTTTAGACAAGGTGCAAAAACGCATTGTAAACATAGTTGACCTGCGCTTTCAGCCATCTTACAACTAATTTGCTTTTCTCTTTTTTTTTTATAAATACTATGATGGCCGCTGGTTTAAAAAAACTAGCGTCTCTTGTGCCATCTACTAAAATTAGTTCTCATGTTACTCGTCATTTAATTAAGTCTTATCCTTTTACTGTGACTGTTCTTAAGTGTTCCAAACGTTCTTATATGTTTAGTTTTTTTCCTCGAACATTAGTTCTTTGAAATTTGTCGAACATCAGTTCTTTGAAATCGAGGACAACTTTTATACTAAAATTGGAAAGGAAAGATTTAATAACCTTAAAGATATTACCTAATACACCGTAAGAAGAAAGCTTATGGAAAAGACCAGCATGCCCAAATTTTTTGAAAATAGAGAAATAAATGCCACTTTCCAGCATACCGGAAAACATGATTCCAATAAGCACTTGTTAAATAGTTTTGAAAGTATAGACGACAGCTCCGAAGAACACTTCTGCAAGACTATAACAGGTATGTTGTTCGGACCAAAAGCTGAATAAGAGTCTAAGCAGAAAATCACTTTAGATACAGAAGCTGGAGTGATACAAATGCCAAGCAATGGATCAGCCTGTTTGTCGGCTATATCAGGTAGAACTCAACTAGTGGAATCAAAGGATAATATTGATGAAAAATTCTTAGCAAACAATTCAGCTTTGTCTTAAGTGAGGTGGCAAAATCTGAACCGTACAAGAGGTTGAATAACAGATTTGCCCTTATTTTTGATACTGTTAAATAATCTCCAGAAGTCACAAGAGCCTAATTTTTGAGATGAAATACGAGATTTCATGACCTGATAATAGCGGGCTTTGGCGTTAGACAAAACCTTTTTACAATGGTTTCTAACAATAGTAAATAGACGTCTGTTTCTGGAGAATTGTTTTGCTGATAGATACGGAATGGTTTTGATTGGAAATTGCAGCAGTACAATATGAGGTAAACTGAGGAGAAGAGAAAGGTTTGACTTGGAATTGTTGAGAGGGAATAAAAGATTCCATGCCAGCCTAAATCCAAGAAGTTATGTAAGATGCACATTTATCAGCAGGAAGGCGAAAGATTTCTACACATTGGCCATTACGAAGAAAATTGTGTAAAAAGTCTCAGTCAGCTAGGGTAGTTGTATGAGGTACAATGATAGGGGGTTCTGATGATGAAAATGAATGAGATAATAGTTTTAGAAAGATCAAACCGTGATCAGAAGCACTTATAGGGTAAATGTACAGTCTAGGATCAGAAATAAGACATAAGTCAAGTTGAAAAGGTAAATGATTCAGATTTATCTAGCATGATCTTTTAATGTTTTAAATATAACACTATCAAACAATGTGTAAACTGCTAACTTAAATATGTTCATGCTTATCTCAAATGAGAATTTGGAAAAAAAAAGAAGGCAAAAATTTGAACTGTAAACTGTAAAATTTAAAGTTCAATACAGTTCGACATACTACAGAGCTGACAATACGCGTTTCAAA